GTTTCGTCCTCGTCCCGCAGCTGCCGTTTTACGGACTCGGAAGTGGAAAACATCCTTAACAAATATGGAATCGAACCGCAGAAGATGGTCCACGAAGACGAAGCTAAGCAGATGTTCCGGGACGTGCTGCAAAACGCACCAGAATCGAGTATGCGTTTTATTATTATTATTTTATTATTTTATTTTTTTATAGTCTGTGATTATTTCACAACTGCAGTCTTATCATCAGTTATTATGCCTATATTGACTACTGCAGATAATAGTCATGCGCGTTTGACGTTAACGTTGTYCGGACGATCCCCCGTCTAAATTGGAATTAAATAATATGTATTTATAAATTGAAATTTATATTCTTGAACGAAGGCGTAATCACCACACTCCGTTGTGCAAAAATTTTCAAAGACTCATCAACTCCGAGAATCTTTTATTTGAAAATTAGTTAATGCCGTATGTATGCTTGATCATTTTTTTCCCCAGACGAAGTCGAGATAGGTATTACAGCCAATATTCAATAAAATTAAAAACGGTTGTTCATTAATATTATAATATGTATATATATTGTAAAAATTAAACTTAGGTATACCTAAAAAAATATTTATTTACTACTTTTTAGGTAATAAAGATGACGAGGACACTTCCAATGCATCAGATATCAATTGGCAAGTATACAGTATCGAGATTATTATTTCCAAACTGATTTATAAATAAAATGAGTTTTCAGGTTGATTAAGAGAGTAGACCTACTTGAAAATGTATTGGAAGACGTTCATAACAAATGCGATATCGTCATAGCACGTCTCGATGCGATACGAGTTCAATTACCACCGAATTACGCAGAACAAAACCTGCAGAATAACCCTACTTCTTGATTGCATAATTATTATGAACATTTTTTTACAATTGACCCGTAGCATAACTGTTTTTTTATAAGCTTATACGATTGTGACGACAAAAACATCTAAAAAAAATACCCGTACAAAATACATCAATAACTCTGTATTCGAGCAGTTCAGGGCCTGTAAACGTGTAAGTTATGTTGATGGAATTACACTCAATTGCCCTGCGGCCTTGACTCGGTCACAGATAGTCGATAGATCAATATTATCACTACACAAAAAGCAAATCACAGAAATAAACATCGATACATACATAAACGAACAATAATTATTAAAATATATACTTTTTTATATTGGTAACTAATACAAAATATATATTTATACTTCGGTGCTCGTTATTTTAATATTTTCAGTTAAACATTTAAATTATTACACATATATTCAATATTACCTATATCATGGCATACGTTTTGTTGTATTAAGTCTAGGTATAGGCACCTATATATTTAAAAAATACAGTTATGATAATTATGCCAAATTACATTTATAGTAGGTGATAGCATAAAATAAATCACAGAAGTTGAAACCGTTGTGTCCTAATTTCTGATATAATTGTCTTGAACGCCTTCAAAAAGCGATCGGCGTTGGCTCTGCTGAACACCATCGGTGGTTTCAGTTTAATAACGTTCACATCTGGTCCATCGCTGCTGACCAATATTCGAAATTCGTCTTTCATTCTGAAACACAATTTGTACGTTAATAATAAATGTTATAAACCTACCAAAATATTTCAAAAACCATTTAGCGATACATAATAATATGTAGTTTTAATTTCATAAATTCGCGAAGTATCATATTCATATTAAACGTTATATATATACCGAGAAAATCGTTTCGCTAGCGCAAACCTAGGACAGACCTTTCACATGGAAAATGTAAAGTATACTTAGACATATTCATACTTGTTGTTACAGTATTATGAATTTAATAATGATTAAATTTATTAAATCCGTTGTATAAAATTAACAAAAACCAATGTTGATTTAAAAATGCGTTTTTATAAATTTAATAAACTRTTTATTAATTCAATGTATWTCTTTCTTAAATTAATGTTTGGGTATATTATTAATTATACCGATAAAATTTGTTGATTTTACCTATGAACTTTCTTAACTCAATAATATATTTTTCAGACTAA